ACCAGGAGACTGGGTCACATAGATCCCGTTAGGCTCCCCTGCTGAGGACCTCGAAACAACCGTAACCGTTGATTAGAGACACTGAGTGACGTGGCTGATTGATCGTAAACAGTGGCGTTCATGCATCTTCCAAATTTCTTTCCAACCTTAGACCACTGAGATTCTCCATTTTCTGTTCGACTCTACTTTCAACTTTCCTATCTTTCTCCTGTTTATCATCCAAATGGGTAGTCAAAAGACGGCAACCAAAACTGCCGCATGAAGAAGATCTGCTTGTGAGTCTTTGATAGGGAGACTGGGAAGGATAATCGGGAATCCATTAGGCCAGAAACCTGTGGTCCGAGGTTAGAGCCCCGCCACTGTCACCCAACTTTGGTGGTAGGTAGCTTTGGTGTCAACCGGTTCAATACCACGCCTGACCTAGTGGGGCTTTATGTGGTTCACCACTCCAAGTCCCGGGGCTTAAGTCACCGGTCTCCATCACTGAACAGCAGGTCCTCGTGTATATGCCGTTCTACCCCGTCTGCTGNAATATGTAATAAAAAAAAATTGGGAAAGGATGCAAGAGAACACTAATCAGGTGGGTTGTTATAGATAACACTTTTGGACGAATAGTAAGTTTGCTGACCTTGTGAAATGTCTTAGTGACAACTGTGGAGACTAAGAAAGATTATGCGAGATGATGGCTCCGAAGTATGTTAACGAGAAGCTTGCTATCCGTTGATAATGACAGACGGGATAGAGTTCATTACACCAGTTTATTTTTCGTCATTCAGCAGATAAAATAACACCTCTGTATGCTGATACTCAGGTTATAATGTGAATGTTACAGTCCCATTTAGGCCAGAGCGAGAGGAAGAACAAAGACCGTCTCACCGTCAGATCGGTGTGTGTGCCTGAATGAATCGTGAGCATGCGTCAAGCACTAATCATGACATGACGGGAGAGAATTACAATAACATAAAAGGCCAAGGACACTGTCTGTTCACCAACTGACCATTGGCATCCCTAACACCTCCCCCGGTAATTTCACGAGGTCCGTGTGATTTCCATAGACAGTGAATGTTTGGATTAGCCCATTCGGTTTCTTCGCAGTCACCAGTCACCATTGGTGATCCTGAATGTGGGTTCCCAACCCGAATTTTTGCGATTGGAGTCCTAACAGGGACAAAAGTATACACTGCTGACGAGTCCCAAACAGGACGAAAGAGCTATCCAATGCACTTTGTCGGTTATCACAAACATTTCCATCGCATGATTTCACTTGTAGGTTGATCTGGAGTGTAGCGGGTATTACGATGAAGATAGTTATCTTCCTTGCGTAACCAAATCCAACATTTACGGTTGCGTATATTGTGGTCGTGCCATGTGTGTTGGAACATCGTCTAAACACGGGCATGTGTGATCATCAGTAATGAGTTCTTCGCGCTCATCATCGCAGTTCGTACACACCTTATCCTCGTTTTGCTGTTACAGTTCCTGAAATCCATGTTTAGCGACGTGTTTTGAAGTCTATTTCATGCACTTTGCCACCAATCTGGTGGCTTTTGAACTTTCATTGTTGCCATACACCTATCGTAAACGAGTAGTTAAGGGAGCATAATTTTGCATTTTGTCTTTATTTTCCTCCCAAACAAGTGTTGTGGGGTACTACTCACATTTGTGAGTCGTATGCAAAATAGTGCGGTTGGTGGTTTTCTTCAGCTATCAAAAATTAACAAGACCACTGAGGGCAAGTTGCGGTGTCACAAAGCATAACTACGGAGTACGCTATTCATTCATTACCCCGATGTGCTACCGGGAATTGCGATGACATGTTTCGAAAGAGATATCTATTACATGTATGCCAAATTATTGATATCCCAACTGTAATCTGCAATGAATACCTTTCCTCAAGCAGGCACCATCTTGTGGAATTGTAACACAAGCATTCACAGGGTGATACAACGCTTGGCGGTTGTTGATTTGGAGTGATTCTTTAGTCAACCAAAACGAAGTCAATAATACTGATGGTTCCCGGCGTATTTTTGTCTGTCTTTTTAAAGTGGCCACAAATTGCTCGACCTGACCATTCGACTGCGGACGATACGGCGGAGTTCCTAGGTATACAACGCCATTGGATAAACACAAGTCGGGAAACTTGTGGGATGCAAACTGAGCACCGCTATCTGAAATGAATACCAAACCCAAAATACAAAACATGCTTCTGAAGAAGGCGGATCTTCAACTGGCTAATAGGGTATTTTATAATGCTTATTTCTGACAACTTGGATGTAGAATCAACAACACGTAAGAGATAGACGTCATGAGTCGGTCCAGCAAAATCAATTTGAACACTGGTTCATCCTTAATAGCGGACACAACTCAATAAGCAGTGAATCTTTACGCACGAGTTTTGAGATACATGGAGGAATTTAGAAAATTGATGCCATCATCCACACATTTATAGAGCAAAAAATCACCAGACGTAGACACGGAAGAAATGTAGGTGAAGAGTAGAATACGAGACAGATTACTGCCTTGTAGAACTGCTTGAATGCAGAGTAGAAGCGAATAAGTGTACCCTTATGTACATTTAGGTGAAATGATTAAGTAATATATTGGTTAGTTGTGATTAAATACCCTTCTAAGTGTGTGCATAAAGAAGCCTTGTCCTATTAAAACAAATGAAGGCATCCTTACAGTCCAAGAAACCTCATCTGAACAGCTTTAAATACAAAGAAGAGCAAACAAAGTGGATGGGGGAAACCAGCAAACGCATCGAGGTCTGCTTGGGAGCTATGAAAGATAACCTGAGTGGGACCGGGTGCATCCAGTTGGGAGGACAATCGCATAGTTGACATGTCAGGTAAAACGAACAGACTCAATCCAAGTGTTGGCCCGTCAGTAGGACAGTGTGTGCGTGTGTGCTTGTACGGCATGGAGCGACTTCGGGTTGGTGGGAACAGCAATCAACTGGGGGCGGAGATGGGGCCGGTTAATCCAATCACATATCGTGTCATTTCAGCTATGTCTGAGTTCGAATCTGCATGGTCTAAATGGTAGATATGCACTGCTGGTGATCACTGGTGGTCATCAGATGGAAACAGCTATGAGCTGTTATTACGAGTAACACCATGCCGATAAATGAAGAACCTAAAACTTTTAGAAAACGTAACTGGTCAAGCAACAGCCGGCTGAAATGGACTAACTGCGAAGAAATCATCTTCTATATGCATGCTTAAAACTGTATACTTCTTAAGCATTGTTTACGGGCATTAAGCGTGTTGCCTATGCTGGTCTAAAACACTGCTACCTTGATCGATCGCACCGAGTGGCCACTGGGGGGATAATTTGTGAACACTGCCATCTAAGATTCCAGATGTGAACACTTTCCCGCAATGTTGCCGAGGTTGTAACTGCGTTGACAATTGATTATTCATTTCACAACGGCCCCCTACCCACCCACCCATACAAAACACGCTCTTATTGATGTCCGGAGTATGCCATAATCTGATGGGTTTTCTATCGTCAAATTCATTGATTTTTGCATTGATATACTCTTATATCACCACTATTCTCGCACTACATTGCATAGCTCTTCTTTCTTTCGTCCACACACGCACACCGGCACAAAATAGACATTATTGTACCCAATTCAGTAGTTAACTTGGAATAGGGAGCTCAAAGTTCGTTCGTACTTCCCTAAACGATGAAATGAAAACAGTTTCAGGTGTATTTGAATGCCGCCAAACTTTGACCCTCTGAGATAGTTTCAGATAACCTCGGCACTTCACCCAATCTCCATCAGATCACGTAACTTATTGTTACAGGTCGAAAATGGTGAAATTTATCGCCTAAACCGAATAGCCTATGTGATCATGAAATTGGAATAGAACCCTTGTGTGATAATCAGAATAGTAGTGAATGTAGGAATACGGGAACCCGTATCGTAATACTCAGAACTGGACTAACTCCTACCCGAACTGCGGACATCAATGAAATGCACGAGGAATAGATAGCAGCAATTACTTATGTTTATTGATGGAATTAGAACATGATTTATAGAAGGTAATAGGCCATTTGATTGGTTGAACGACCGTCATCCAATCACGTAACCGTTTGCGCCGACGCATCATATGTACCAACTCGGATGTCATGTTCGCCCGGGTGTGCCATTGGCCGAGTTTCCTGAACGGCGATTGGATGGTATGAAGCTATACCTCGTCGTGCCTGGGATGTGGTCACGGAAGTCTGGATCACCATACCTTGTCAGAAATAATAAAGCTTTTTCTTGGCATAAGGCTGTTCGCGTGGTGATTGCTAAGGAAACTACATCAAGATCTGACTTAATGCAGTACTAAGCACATCGCCAAACTTAATCTATTCGATCTATCTGATATCTCCCTGGTCTTCGGGATGAAGTGTCTGTGGTACGCTCCACGGAAGGAGGATACAGAGCGAACAGGTGGGAACTGAAACCGAGAGAGAGAGATATCGTACCATTGCAAGTGAAGACTCATGAACTGGAAGTTTGTTTCTCTGGCCGAAACCACACAGATTGCGATCCGTTCTGAACACACCCAACTCATAGATTATAATTCCCCATGCATTAGTGGACAATCCTCTTTTCTAAGAGATTACTACCATAGAAGAACAAGCATTATAGAATCATTAATAACTGTTTGACAGACGTCATCTATCCCAAGTTAAACAAGAGACAAGCCAAAGGGGTGATAGACTTTATTTCAACGGGTGCCACTTTACGCTTAAGCAGTCAGGCTGTGGTACACAAAAAATGGAAATGTGACTTGAAAGCACTATTGAAGTGTGGGCAGTCCAAAACGAAAAGCAGACCAGGACTGAAATATGCTGCCGGTTGTTGCGTTGCTTTCGATTGTTTTACTCTGGAAAGATGGTATTGTCCGTTCCGTATTGACGTATGTGAATGATACACTTTAAAGTTCCGCTTCCCTCGTTGATTTTAGGTTGTGGATGTGCCGAAAGTGGTCGAACGGAAACACGTGAATGGACATCTTCATCCGGACTTTTCAACTCTGCATCCGTGTCCATGGGCTGGATCGTTGAATCGGAATATTAGCTACCCGAACCCGGAAGCGGCTCCAACTTATAAAGTATGTGCAGTTTTATGTGACATGCATTGGCCCGAGGGTGACGCCATGCAAGCACATCCGCGGGTTGTCGTGAAGCGATTGTTACAAGAACTCGAGGAGAAGCATAAACTCACCCTGTATTCGGCATTTGAACCGGAGTTCCGAGCATTCAAAGTGGAAACTATGGCTCCATCTTGTGCAAACCCGAACTCGAGTACGACACCGTTAGAAGACCCACCGGCAGATCCTGTTCCGTTCACTCTCGGAGAGGATATGTACAAAACTAGTCTGCTGGCCGAGTATGAGTCGTTTTTCATGGATGTAGACACGCGGGTTCGTGAGATTGGAATCGAGGTGCAGGATTACAGTAATGAGAATGGAGCGGGCCAACTGGAATGCCCGCTTATCCCCAAAGTCGGTCTCCAAGCGGCTGATCACTATTTCATCCTGAAGCAAATTCTGAAGGAGATTGGTTTGCAACACAACATGGGTGTGTCTTTCATGACCACACCGTTCCAGGAGGGCACTTCGAGCGGGTGTCATTACAACCACTCGTTGTGGAATGTGGAGACGGGAACGAATGCATTTTACGATGCAAAAAGTAAGCGTCACTAGTGAGCGTAACGAATATAAGGTGTGCGTTGTATGTAAATGAGGTACACGAAGCAATATTCTCAACTGCTACTTTTTGCATTCCGTTTTGCATGTAGTCATCTATACTTTTTTGTTTATTGTAAGACACCGAAAACATTTCCCGGGACGAGGATGTGACTGACGAATGACTGCCTGGCTTAGCAGGGATTTGAACACACATGCACACACACAAGTGACCTCGGGGTTGATGCCAGGATCAGCTGGACGGCGTCCCCACCTCAACACATCCATAATAAAACACAAAGCTGTGCGTCTATTTTGCGATCGACGGTTTGTTCTTTCACCTAACAGTCCTGCTCAAAAATGAAATCCACTGATGGAGCAAATCAGGTAATGGGACTTTGTCTTACTGAATCGTCGGACGGGTCTAACTGTCTGTCGGACAACTTGAAATGATGGTCAGAAATGATTACCGGATCTACTGAAATGATACCCGGACATCTTGAAATGGCATATTGGGACAACCTGAATTGAAAAAGATATAGATAGTTATCGTCCTATTGGTGTGCTGTTCAGAACAGCAATTCGTCTGAAAGTACCACAGCTGAAAAAGTCTGATGATCCATATGAAGCATTCAAAGAACCAGAGTTCGGGTTGAATGCCCCAGCACAAAACTCTGGAAGTGGATTCCATGGCTGTTCCACGCAAGCTAGTGATCGACGCTTCCGTCAACCAATGAAATGAACAGCACAGTATTCTTTAGATAGGGGCTGAGCCAGCATGTTTCCCGCCAAGTTGTGCAAAGCCCGATGAGAGGCACCAAAAAGATGTATTTGTTTCAGCTGTCTTCCGAATTCGCCGACAAAACTGTTGATTTCATCCACTGAACGTTCTTGGAAAGCAAAACTAAGAATGCTACCAACCGCATTTTTATTATGGATTTACAATCATCGCTTTCTTTATCCTTGGGCTGACTGCCCTCTCTGTATATATATATATATATAATTTTTAAATCCATCCGATGCCGTCCGGTAAACGATTACCGGCCACCAGACACAAGTTGCGCGATCGACGATCGCTTAAATAAACGGTCAAATGGATTGAGCTGATTGATTGGAGCACGACGTGAAGGCCTTTGCAGCGGGCTTGGCTGGATTGCTACTTTGTACTTAGGCCGCGACAGTGCAGTACGGTGGTGAAGCTCTTTATGGACAGAGAACGACTGAAACACTACGGCTACTGACCTTGGTCGGTCGGGTTGATTTTGGTATCAAGTACGGCTGTCCTGACTAAATTGCACCGAGTTTCATTCGATGCTGACGTGCCGACATACGTATGTCACGATGGTCAAGCGGCGGTCGTCAGTTCTCCCCCCGCGCCACTGCCGCCCATGATTGGTTATGTATAACTTTGTATCACGTTTGCAGTCTGCCTTATGCGGATTAGATCAAGAACTCCCCTTGTTAATAGAATGAAAGGATTCTTGAGAAAGTGGGATGATAGTTTTGTACAATTAGAATATGTTCGATTCCATCAGTAGTTCATT